ACTTCCAATTCCCCGGTCCCCAACACCTCATCTTTACCATGGACGTCCAGTCCCTCTACACCTGCATTCCCCATGCAGATGGCCTTAAGGCCCTCCGCTTCTTCCTGTCCCGCAGGCCCGACCAGTCCCCCTCCACTGATACCCTCATCCGCTTAGCCGAACTCGTCCTCACACTCAACAACTTCTCTTTCAATTCCTCCCACTTCCTACAGACAAAGGGGGTAGCCATGGGTACCCGCATGGGCCCAAGCTACACCTGCCTCTTTGTAGGTTACGTGGAACAATCCCTCTTCCGTACCTACATCGGCCCTAAATCCCACCTCTTCCTCCGTTACATTGATGACTGTATCGGCGCCGCCTCGTGCTCCCACGAGGAGCTCGAACAGTTCACCCACTTCACTAACACCTTCCACCCCAACCTTAAGTTTACCTGGACCATCTCTAACACCTCTCTCCCCTTCCTGGACCTCTCTGTCTCCATATCGGGCAACCACCTAGAAACCGATATTCATTTCAAGCCCACCGACTCCCACAGCTACCTAGAATACTCCTCCTCCCACCCACCTTCCTGCAAAAATGCTATCCCCTATTCCCAATTCCTTCGCCTCCGCCCCCAGGATGAGGCATTCCACTCCTGTACATCTCAGTTGTCCTCGTTTTTCAAGGACCGTAACTTCCCCCCCCTCGGTGGTCGAGAACGCCCTCAACCGTGTCTCCCACATCTCCCGCACCTCATCCCTCACACCCCGTCCACGCAATAAGAACCAAAAAAGAATCCCCCTCGTCCTCACGTACCACCCCACCAACCTCCGGATCCAACGCATCATCCTCCGACACTTCCGCCATCTGCAATCCGACCCCACCACCAAAGACACCTTTCCCTCCCCACCCTTATCTGCTTTCCGGAGGGACAACTCTCTCCGTGACTCCCTTGTCCGCTCCACATTCCCCTCCAGCTCCACCACACCCGGCACTTTTACCTGCAACCGCAGGAAGTGCTACACCTGCCCCCATACCTCCTCCCTCACCACCATCCCAGGCCCCAAGAAGACTTTCCACATCAAGCAGATGTTCACCCGCACATCTGCCAATGTGGTATACTGCATCCGCTGTACCCGTTGTGGCTTCCTCTACATCGGGGAAACCAAGCGGAGGCTCGGGGACCGCTTTGCAGAACACCTACGCTCGGTTCGCAATAAACAACTGCACCTCCCAGTCGCGAACCATTTCAACTCCCCCTCCCATTCCTCAGACGACATGTCCACCCTGGGCCTCCTGCAGTGCCACAACGATGCCATCCGAAGGTTGCAGGAACAGCAACTCATATTCCGCTTGGGAACCCTGCAGCCCAATAGTATCAATGTGGATTTCACAAGTTTCAAAATCTCCCCTCCCCCTACCGCATCCCAAAACCAGTCCAGCTCGTCCCTGCCTCCCTAACCTGTTCTTCGTCCCACCTATCCCCTTCTCCCACCTCAAGCCACACCTCCATCTCCTACCGACCAACCTCATCCCGCCCCCTTGACCTGTCCGTCCTCCCTGGACTGACCTATCCCCTTCCTAACTCCCTACCTACACTCACCTTTACTGACTCCATCCCCGCCTCTTCGACCTGTTTGTTTCCTCTCCACCTATCCTCTCCTCTGTCCCTCTTCTATCCGCCTCCCACTCTCTCCCTATTTATTTCGGAACCCCCTTCCCCTCCCCCTTTTCTGATGAAGGGTCTAGGCCCGAAATGTCAGCCTCTCTGCTCCTATGATGCTTCTTGGCCTGCTGTGTTCATCCAGCCCTGCACCTTGTTGTCTCTTTACTCTGGGCATATGGGTTCAAATCCCACCGTGGCAGGTGGTGGAATATAAAGTCAGTTAATAAAATCTGAAGGTGAGTTTCTGTAAAACTCGTAAAAAGCCATTAATGTTGTTTAGGAAAGGCAATCTGCCATCCTTACCCAATTATATGCGATTTCACCCACAGCAGCATGTTTTTTTGCCATTCATTCATGGAATGTGGACATCACTATCTAACATTTATTCCCCATCCCTAATTGTCCAGACATGGGTTTGCAATCACCTCTAGGCCAAGCTACAACAGCACTTTCCTTTCCTGATAATTGACAAAGGTTTCATCAGATGCTTGATTCATATTGAAGTCAAATTCCACTATCTGCCATGGCAGGATTTGAACCCAGATTCCTGGGATATTACCTGGGTCTCTGGATTAAAAGTCCACCGATAATACCACTAGGTCAACACCACCCCTAACTCCACAACTGCCTACCAAACTACTCCTTTCAAGGGAAAATGGGGTACTAACATTGCCAGTGACACCCACATCCCAAGAAAGGAAAACTATCTCTTTATCAGCAATGCTAAACCAGATTATCTTTCTTACATCCTGTGTGCAAATTGCTGCCATGGAATCCCTACAGTGTGGAAGCAGGCCATTTGGCCCATTGAGTCCACACCAACCCTCCAAAGAGCATCCCACCCAGACCCAACCCCTACTCAATGGCTAATCCACCTAGCCTGCTCATCCCTGGACACTATGGGTAATTTAACATGGCCAATCCACCTAACCTGCACATCTTTGGACTGTGGGAGGAAACTGGAGCACCAGGGGGAAACTCACACAGACGCAGGGAGAATGTGTAAAATCCATACAAAGCTGGGATTGAACCTGAGTTGCTGGCACTTTGACGCAGCAGTGCTAACCACTGAGCCACCATGCCATCCCATATTTCTCATATTACAATAGCAACAACACTTCTAAAGTACATTGTCGGCTGTAAAATGCATTGGGATGTCCTGAAGTTGTGAAAGCTATGTAAGAGTGGAGGCTTCCTTATATTTTTATTAGATCGTTTCATCAATTTTTTATGCCTGAATGGTGGCTTGCGGTTGTCTTAGGCATAACATAAATGCAATAGTGTTGTTATTGTTACTGCAAAACTTCTAGGAATGAGAAGATTCCTATTCGATAACAGCTGGAACACAACAGGCAGTTTGATGCTTAGTCAACACGCATTTTAATTTTGATGTGATCATTCAGCTTACAGACCAGGAGCTGATATTATCCTTTTACAATTCATTGACCTTGGCTAATCAGTAGGCCTGCATGATCCAGAATACTAACACTCTGTATTATCAACAATGCGTGTCTACTGACTGAAATGGGCAGTGCAAAAAGAAAATGAACTATTTTAGTTAATGATGGAGACAAAGAGAATAATTTCTTCACACTGAGGCTTTATACAGCTGCAATTTAATATAAAGTGGCTCATTAATTTTCTGATTATGTTTGAATATCATCTTACAATCAGAAATGAACATTGGTCTGATGAGGGGGAAAATGTGACAGCCAGGAAAGTTCCAGATGCCCATGTGTAAAACCTCATAATGTGCATAAAAGTGGACAAATAGATGACATTGTTTCAGATGCTTCTATTTGTAACATGATCCAGATAAACAGCAATTCCTAACGAACCAATAATGCATGCACTGGATTAACACATTTATATCAGTTTATCAATTATTTTAAAGTAGGCAAAACAGGCTATTCTGAAAAAATTATCATCTCTGTTACACAAAAAGAAGAGGGATTTACAACTCCATTTTTCAGCAAAACCTTTGTTTCCTTTCTCTCTTGTGTACTTACTTTTTATTAAAGGCATAACAGAGCTAAATAATTAAAAAGACTTGCATCATTTTGTATGACTTCAGGGCATCCCAAAGGGCTTCACAAATACTTCTGAAGTACATTTATTGATTTAATTTAGGAAAAGTGGTACCTATGTTGCCCACAGCAAACTCCCACAAGCAACAATGATTCATTTTTAAAAGATGATGTTGATTTAAGGATAGATTTTGGTTATGACATCAAGAAGAAAACTCTACTGTTCTAAATAAAAACTGAAAGAACCATGGATGCTATAAACCAGAAACAAAAACAGAAGTTGCTGGAAAAGCTCAGCAGGTCTGGCAGATATCTGTGGAGAGAAATCAAAGTTAACGTTTCGGGTCCAGTGACCCATCCTCAGAACTGATGGTAGCTAAGAAAATGTTGGTTTATATGCTGAAGTTGGATGGAGGGAGGGGTTAGGAAATTAATGATAGGCAAGGATAGAGCCCTGAGAGAGAGAAGGACAGGCGGACAGACAACTGTACTGTCCTTCTTGGAGATAGTAGGAACTGCAGATTCTGGAGAATCTGAGATAACAAGGTGTAGAGCTGGATGAACACAGCAGGCCACGCAGCATCAGAGGAGCAGGAAGGCTGACGTTTTGGGCCTAGACCCTTCTTCAGAAAATTACACCTTGTTATCTCTGTTCTTCTTGGAATAGTGCCAAGGCGTTTCCTGCGTTCATCTGAGACAGCAGACAGGTCTTGGTTTAACATCTCATGCAAAAGACAATTAAGCAAATAGTATCTTACATGTCTTGCACGCAGCACATCAGTTACAATTGGTACGTGACACACTTTAAGACGTACATTGTCTTGAAAGGAATTGTTTCTTCCATTCGGGTATACAAATGATAATGGTTGTTTGTTCTCCACTTTGGCTTTAGGAATTCACAAACAACTTTACCTACCGGGACATTTGAAGAGTTATCTTAACATGTTAAATCAGATTAAGCTATGTCAGTAGCGAAATATTGAGGCTTTGATCCATGTGCATTTGACCAGACATTAGCAACATCATGGAGGTTATTAAATTCACTCCAGACAATAGGCTCCCATGTTTCAAGTGGGATGTGAATTAACCCTGAGTTTTGCAAGTTGCCATCTATACTGTTATTGGTACTTTTTCATTGTCCTTTCATATGTTACTTTTCAAAGTTGCTTCATTCAGTTAACTCTTTACCCTGGCAATGAAAAGCATTATAAAACAGGCAGTCTGATCTTGTGAACTACTAACTTTCAATTTCTATTGGTCCCAAAGCCTACAATTTCGAGACTTTTGTCACACCTTCTGCACTGTATATTACAAACTCAAACTCTCACCATGTTGGAGCAGCCAGCAAAACATGAGGACAAGTAGGTAACTCCATCAGATCCACAGACAGGGTTATAAGCTGCTGTCTTGCAGTCACAATCACTATTGCAGGGCGCATAGGGGTCCAAATCCGTGTCTGAGACGGATCTGCAATATAAGGAATACTTTTAGTTTAAGCAGAACAGCCTCCAATATGAACTATGATGAGAGAGATGTCCTTGCTGATTCACATTGGCTCTCTTTTCTCTCCCACATTGAAATTAAGATTTTCTGCCTCGTGTTTAAATCTTCAACCTCTGTAATCTACGGGGGCCCTACCACTTCTCAGCGCACCAACATTCTCCATTCCTCCTGGTCTTGCGTGCACTCTGCCTGCCTTTGGTGGTCATGGGTCAGCTGTTTGGCCTATTAATTCTGAATCTCTCTGCTGAAACCCTTTCATCTAAAGATACTAACAAACTTCCAACCAAATATATTAGCTTCCTTCTGCTGAATCAAAAGAGAATAAAATACAAATGTATAACAAATAATATATGTCCAATGTCCATACCATTCCTCCTTGTGCTCAGTTCTGAATCATTCAGAAGCCCATTAATTTCCTGTGGTGTTCCATGCAGTACAGTGAAAATTGTGCCATTCTTATAAGTTTGCTGTGCCCCTGATGAGTAACGATGTCATTACCTGTCCTTACTCTTTTGCTCTGTCTCTCTCTCTTGCCCTTTCGCTTATCTGTCCTCGTCTTTTCCTACTTTCCATGGGAAGTAGTTGGTTTGTACCCTCTTCTTGAAAGTTATAATCTATACCTTAAGGTCAGGCATCTCCCAAGTCTAAATGACTTTCAGGCCTTCCAACAGTGGAGGGTACTGATAAGAAGGTTCAGAATCTCATCACAGATCCATCTTACCCACATTATTTGAACTTAAATCTAGAACAAGTCAGAGAACAGAAGTCATCAATCCCCCAAAACCATTGGCCATAGCAATGCACCAATTTCCATCACAGGAACTTCCACAATTTAAAGACATTGTACTCACGTGTTTCCGTAAGGGACAGTGATCCCAGCTATGGGTCCTGTATCACATCCCAGGAAGAGAAAGGAAATGTAGCAGGCAGTGGACACGAGGTTAACTAACATCGCCATTCTAATGGCACCCAGAGGTGTCAAGCTGAGTTTTTTCACTAGAAGCCCTCCAAGGAAAATGCCCAGACATGCACAGGGAATGGCTGTCATTCCTGTGGGATAGAAGAAATAAAATTAAAATGCCATTCTGCCTACTACATAAATCCACAACAACTTACATTTATGCAGTGACTTTAACATTGAGATACGCCCCATGGAGAGTCTTAAAGATGTTATCAAAAGGAAACAATATTGTATTAAAACAATTCAAACAACTTTATAAAACCACCAGTTTTGAAGGTGTAGCTTTGCTTAGGCAAATACAGCAGCTTTTTGTACCAGTGCCACCCCACAAAAAGCAATGAGATGAATGAGGTTTTTGTGGCATCGGTTCAGTGAGGAATGTTGATGAGAATGCTAGGACACCTTCAAATACTGTCTCAGAATTCTCAATATCTACCTACTGAGCTGGATCATTCCACTGATTAATGTTTCTGGGTATTGTGTGGCATGATAGAAATCAGGAAATTGAGGTACAGGTAGCAAGGCAAATGCCATAAAAATGACTGACTCCAATCTTCATATGGACTGGGCAAATCTAATGAGCACCAAAACTGTGAAAGAAGAATTTCTAGTATGTGTTATACAGACATTTACAGCACGGAAACCAGACTCTTCGCTCCAAATAGTCCATGCCGACCATAATCCCAAACTAAACTAGTCCCACCTGTCTGTGCTTGGCCCATAGCTCTCCAAACATTTCTTATTCATGTACTTATCCAAATGTCTTTTAAATGTTGTAATTGTACCTGCATCCACCACTTTCTCTGGAAGTTCAGTCCACACATGAACCACTCTCTGTATTAAAAGGATTGACCCTCATGTCTGTTTTAAATCATTTTCTTTTCACTTTAAAAATATGTCCATCTGTCTTGAAATCCCCCATTCTAAGGAATAGACACCTGCCATTCACCTTATCTATACTCCTCATGGTTTTATAACCCTCTAAGGTCACCTCTCACCTTCTATGTTCGACTGAAAAAAGTCCAGTATCTCCTTTGTACTTAAACCCTCCATTATCAGCAACATCCTGGTAAATCACTTCTGAACCCTCTCCAGCTTAATAATATCTTTTCTATAGCAGGGAGACCAGAACTGGACACACATTTCAAGATAGTTTTCTGGGGAAACGGTTGAAGACACAAGTTATTTTACATCTAGTATTATGCAGTGAGAAAGGACTAATTGGTAATCTTGCTGTAAAAGAATCATCATGGAATAGGGATCATAGTTTGATTGAATTTTCCATTAAGTTTGAAAAAAATGTATTTCAGTCTAAAACTAGGATCTTAAATCTAAACAAGGGCAGTTATGAAGTTATGGGAAGGAAGTTGGCTTTAGTGAATTGGAAAATACAATAAAAAGGTTTGACATTAGATATACAACAGCTGTATGTAAAGAACTAATGCTTGGTTAAAAAACAAACTTTCATTTCTAAAAGGCAAAAATGACAAACAGGAAAAGTTGGCTAACTTGTGGAGGGCTTATAAAGTTGGCAAAATTGTTGTAAGCCTGAGAATTTTGAGAATTTTTGAATCCAGCAAGGAAAAAAACTGATGAAGGAAGGGAGAATAGAATGTGAATATAAAATAGCTAGAAACATAAGAATGAATTGTAAAAGCTTCTATAGGTATGTTAAAAAAATTAACAAAGATATGGGTCCATTACAGGCAGAGATAGCAGAGTTAATAAAGGAAATTGAGAAAAAGCAGAGAAGTTAAATAAATACTTTGTGTCAGTCTTCACAGGAGAAAATACAAAAGGTCTTCCTGAAATAATTAAAATCCTAAGGCATCTTGGGAGCATGAAATGAACTAAAATTATTATTAGTAAAAAATTAGTAAAAAATATACCTCAGGAACCTGATGACCTTCAATTTTGAGTGACAGAAATTGCTACCAAGTGGATGTATTGATGATCATCTTTCAAAATCTTAATTTTCTAATAGCATGTGCAGGTTGTAAGGCTGCAAAAATAACTCAACTATTTAAAAAAGGAGAGAGAGAGAAACCAGACCTGTTATTCTGACATCAGTAATAGAGAAAATACAAGAATCTATGTCAAAGGTTTGAATAGCAGTATCGATAGAACATAATTGTCTAATTGGGAAGAGACCATACGAATTTATGAAGAGGAAGTCATGTTTAACAAACCTGTAAGAGTTTTTTTCAGAACACTTCTAGCAGAGTTGATAAGGAGGCAATAGTGGCTGTGGAGTATTTGGATTTTTGAAAGCTTCTGATAAAGTACCACACAGAATGTTAGTTAGAAAAATTATACAGCATGGGATAAGAAGTGGTATACTGGCATGAATTAAAAGTTGGCTAACAAGTAGAAAGTAGAAAGCAGAAAGCAGAAAGTATGAATACATGGGTCTTTCTTAGGTTGTCAGGCTGTGATTTGTGGGGTACCACAAGGATTATTATTCAAACTGTTTACAATTTATATGAATAATTTGCAAATAATAACCAATTGTAAAACCTCCAAGTTTGCAATGGTCAAAAAAGAAAACTTTATTAGAATGTGACTTGTTAGAAGGATGCAAAAAGGCTTCAGGGAAGTTAGACAGGCTGAGTGACTACGTTTGAGCATGGCAGATAATCATAATATGGATAAGCGTATTCTACAGAGTTTAGAAGAATGAAAGGTGTTTTCATTAAAACTTACAAGGTTCTTAAAGGAGTAGACAGAGTAGATATAGAAAGAATATTTCCTCTGACTGTGGAGTCTAGAACTAGAGGACAAATAAAAGACAAGCCATTTAGGATTGTGATGAAGAAGGATGTCTTCACTCAGTGAGTGTTAAACCTTTGGAATTCTCTACTCCAAAGGGCTATGGGCGTTCAGTCATTAAATAAGATCAAGGCAGAGATCAATAGATTTCCAGTTATTGATGACTTCAAGGGGTATAGGGATAGTGAGGGAATACAGTGTTAAGTAGATGATTAGCCATGATCTAGACTGGTGAAACAGGCTTAAAGGACTGAATGGCTTTCACTTGTTTCTATGTTCCTATCACAGAATCACAAAATTGTTACAGTGCAGGTGGGAGTCTTACAGCATGTAACGTCTGCACCTTTTCTCTGAATGTGTAATTCAGCTTGTGCCTTTCTCCCAGGTACCCTGCACCTTTTTCCTTTTCGGACAATGTCCCAGCACCCTGTTGAATGCTTGAATTCAAGCAATCTCCGCTGTGCTCTCAGGCAGCACATTTCCAGGTCTTACCCTCTCACCACATGAGGCAGCTTGTTCATTTTTGCTTCTTTTACTCATTTAAACCTGTTCCTGATGCTTTCACGAATAGAAACATTAAAACAGAGGCCGTCAGTGCTGTGGCAGTGTGAAGTGCTGCCCTAATGCTGATGTCCCCTGCCACACTGACCAAATGCATGTTCCAGGACTTCTGCCGAGTTAACTGATGCCAGGCTGTCATGGCAGAACTGGCCTCAGTGCCACTGGGCTGGGAACAGGAGGAGTAATCAGCTTGGATCGCTGTACCCCTTTGCTAGCTGCTGCAAAGCACGTGTGCAAGCAAAGATTTCAGGTGTCATTCTCATCACTGCAATAATACACAACCTGTTCAAATGGCAGTGACAAGGAACCTGAGTTTTGATCTGGATTAACGTTACTCCTCCCCTTTCCCTCTATTTCAAGTCTCACTCTCTATTCCACTGTCACTGGTTTGGTCCTCATTCTCTAATTATCTGCCCTCTCTTGTTCAACAAATGCTCGCCACTCAATATGCCATTTCTATGTTAGAAGAAAGAGGTAGAGAAGAGTTGCATGTCCTGTCACCAATATCTTCTCAGTATCCTGTCCTTTAGGGCTCAAGTAGGTGAGTATGGATGAGAATAGCTAGCTTCTGGGCTAATTACAAGAGTTTCTTGGAGTAAACAAAATACAGTTCATAGCATCTTTGCAACTATTCACGTGTTACAAGGATATGGGACACAGAGTCAGTTGGGGGAGTCTCAGTCTAATTCCCCCTTACTATCCTTAGTTATTCTCTTCACCCGTGCTCAGGTCATCACCACAGCAGGTAGCACTATGGCACTCAATGAGTACTGACCCTTTCAGACCCACATATGCTATCTCCCCTCAAGATTTTATTCCTCATTACATTATTCTTATAAATGTATTAGGATAATTGCATTTCCTGCTATCGCATCTCCTATCAAGTCTGTGACTTTACAAATCCTAATGATCTGAAGGCTTCACTATTCTCCCTAAATACATTCTCTTTGGACTTGAAGAAAGGTAGTTTATCGAGTAAAATTAATTGTCTGAGACTGGCTTCATGATGGTGTGAGTTCTGTCGTTGTCTCTGAACTGCAAGACCCTTAATTCCTAGGCGGAAATTGTCCCTGCCAAAGCAGGCAAATTCTTTTTGTAATATTGTGAATTTTTGGACATTGTTGCTTTCCTCGTAATGGTGGCTTCCATGGAGTTGTGTGTAGTACATCTTCAATTTGTGTCAGTAGATTGTTAAACTCAACCTGCCTTTTGATCTTTGTTGAAGTATGTAGAATTAATAGTTCAACTTGTGAATAGTTTGGATTTTCTTGTTTTCCCTTATTGATCTATTGGTAAAATCAACCTGTTCATTTCCTAAATTATGTTATTTGAAGGTTCATTCTTTCTTGATGTGATCTCTGCTTTTAACATTAGGATGTATCTCATAGATAAGGAGGATAGGTATATAAGGCAGTTAGATATTCCATTTGAACTTGTCTCTTCCGAGTCATGTTAGTCATGTTAATGTCACTCTTAAATCTGTCAGGATGACTTGTACGCTAAACTGTGTTGCAATCTGACTCAACTGAGTTGCAGATTCTTCAATTATGTAGAGTGAACTAAACTGTTCATTGACTGTTTCTTTCCTTATATTTCTTCTAGAGGTTTGTTGGTATTTGGAACCTGAACTGTCCCCAGTGTTGATAACGGCTGGGGGTGGGGGTGGGGGTGGGGGGACAGAGAGAGAGAGAGAGAGAGAGAGAGAGAGAGAGAGAATTGGGATTTGATTTCCATTTGTAGACATACTAATACCACATCT